ATCCTCCCCTTTTTTCTTTAGGTCCGTGGAATATACTTTTAAAGAGATTTCTGTGCCATTCAAAACAAGGGGCACGCTCTAAGCTTCTTTTCAGATCTCGCCTTGAAAGGGTGGCGAACATCCTTGGTACCCCCTTTCTCCCCCCCCTCCAAGGAAGGAGTCTCGTCTTGTAGGGCCGGATTTAAAAAGTGCCTCCCTGCCTTGGATTTCGGGCCATTTAGGTCCGTGGAATATACTTTTAAAGAGATTTCTGTGCCATTCAAAACAAGGGGCACGCTCTAAGCTTCTTTTCAGATCTCGCCTTGAAAGGGTGGCGAACATCCTTGGTACCCCCTTTCTCCCCCCCCTCCAAGGAAGGAGTCTCGTCTTGTAGGGCCGGATTTAAAAAGTGCCTCCCTGCCTTGGATTTCGGGCCAGGCGTTGCCCACTGAGGACGGGCTCCTTGCTGGTCCATGGGCGGCCCCCACTTAACTTTCCTTTCGGGCGTGCAGGTGGGATGGCTTTAATAGGGCAGGTAATCTCTTTCCAAGCCTCTGAAGCCTCTTGGAGGCTTGATCTGGTTGCAAATGAAGGAAGCGGGTTTTTGAATCCATGCTGGCATTATTGCAAAAAAAAACAAACAAAAAAAAAAACACACACACAAAAAAAGATGAAGAAGAAAGGTTAAAAAGAAATACAGTCCTAGGGTTGTTCCAGGTCACTTTGCTTCCAATGATGACTGCTTTCAGGGATCAATCCTGCACTTCGCAAAAGGACTACAGCATGTTTATCACTCCAGGAGAATAGCCCTATACTGTATTCAATTTCTGCCATGTGTCGTGTAAGCAAAGGAAAATAAAGCAAAGCAGCTAGGAAAGGCTGTCCAGAAAGGGAACGGTTCCAAGTTCTAGAGATTCAGATGTCACAGCTGGATATGAAAGGATGGCCTGCGTTCTTCCCGGTGGTGTGGGACTAGAACACCCATGGTTCCCAACCTTGGGTCCCCAGATGTTCGTGGACTAAAACTCCTGGAAAGTTTCACCACCAGCTGTACTGGCCAGGATTTCTGGGAGTTGTAGCCCATTGAAGTTTGAAGAGGAATAGTATCCAGTCAAAATGGCATCATGCGTCTTCCTGCAGTCTCCCCAGACAAGCAGAGATCCGTAACCATCTGCCATCAAGTCAATTCTGATTTAGGGCAACCCTTTTTCAGGGTTTTGCAGGCAGAGAATATGCAGAAGTGGTTTTCCATTCCCTTCTTCCCGGGGTGCCCTGGGACTGTGCAGCTTGCCCAAGGCTACCCAGATTGGCTTTTCTCCCAGGAGGCACAGGGTGTGTGTGTGTGTGTGGGGGGGTGGAATCAAACTTCCCACTTCTGGCTCTGCAGCCAGAGACTCTAAAGCACTGAGTTTGTGAGCCAGATATGGTAAGACCAGAAGACTCTTAATTTAGAGAAAGCACTACAGTATTTAGGTTGCGACGTTTGTGTGTTTTACTGTTTTGGAAAAAAAATCAGTCGTCTTGACAGTAAAAGTTTAAAAAAAAAATCATTGAAGGCTTAACGCTTGTTGGATGTTCTATTTGTGCTTGGGGGCCACATTTGAGATATCACTGGACTATTGTGGCAGAGGTCAATATTGATGTTTCCAAGCTATATATGCGTGTGTCTGTTTAAACTTCGTAGAGATTTTCAGAAGTTAACATGATGAAATAAGCTGTTCTGAGATGTTGTGATGGTTGCTGGCTTAAAAGGGGATTTGACGTCTTTCTGAAAGTACAAGCAGGCCTTGGAGTAACAATCCACCGAATTCTCCCTGCCAGCCTGAGGTGAAAGGCATTCCTCTTCCACACATAGAATCTGATTAGACTAGCCCCTGAGCCTTATTTCAACACTGGAGAAGTGGGCGACCTTGTTAGTGTTTTTGAGGCAGGTGGGCTGTTCAAAGAGTGGTGTTATATTTGCTTCCTCCGAAGGCTGAGCAGAGATATGAACTCGTGTTTCCTGAGTCCCAGTCTGGTTCCCTATCCACTACACTGCACTGCCTCTTCACTCCTGAGGGCAGCAGGCAAATTCAGGGGTCGCAGGACAAGCTGTGTGAGGCACATGACTCTGTCCCCCAAGAGAGGGAAGAAGCCGGGGGGGCTTTGTGGGGGACCAGCAGCAAGGCTGATGTGTCTTCATGGTACCTGGGGAGCTTCATAGAACATCCGTGGGTGAAGCGGGGTGTAGGATGATGGAATCTGAGGAATGATCTTCTTTTGCTGACTTCAGGGACTGCCTCCTGATCTGTCCTCCAGTGGTCTGGTCCCGAATACGAGGTCTTGGCAGGCTAAGACACAAAACTGACTCTGGCAAGGAAGAACTGCGGGATAGATCTGTGGTTTAAGTTTCTGGCTGCAGAGCCAGAGGTTGGCGGTTCGATTCCCCAGTGGGCCTCTTTGATAGGGGCTGGACTTGATGATCCAGACCATAAGGGTTCTTTCCTGCTCTTCTGTTCTAAGAGAATGGTGGTGATGATGATGAAGAAGAAGGGTGCAAAGAATCGGGGTAAAAGCAATGAAGAGGTCTGGGAAAACAGAGTCCATCCAGAAGCCAAACTTTAAATATCAAGGAGCAATTCAGAGTCGAGTCCGCTTTGAGAAAACCAAGGGAAAGAGTTCAAAAAGTGCAGACAGACAGCCCCCAAATCCTGCACAACATGAAGTGTAGTAGGAGGGCATCAGGATTCCAACAGGCATGAGCTGGAACTACACTCAGACGTTACCTCCAACCAAACTCCTAGTGGCATTCTGAAGTTTACATAGCTCAGCTGCTAGGGCACCATCTCGAACTCAGCTCTGGAGTCAGAATAACACATTTTTATTTATTTTATTTTTTTTCACGGCCGTGATGGGGGACACATTTTGCCCATCCCTGATCTAATTACACACCAGCTTCTTGTTGCTTGGTGATATAATAAATAATTGTGTGCTGTCAAGTCAATTCTGATGGATGGCGACCCTTTTTCAGGGCATTCTAGTTAGAAAGCGTTCAGAAGTGGTTGACCATTCCTTTCTTCTGGGGTCATCCTAGGTCTGTGAAACTTGCCCAAGGCTACCCAGGCTGGCTGTTCTCCCTAGAGACCCAGTGGGGGAATCAAACTCCCAACTTCTAGCTCCGCAGCCAGATGCCTAACCTACTGATCTATACTTGGTGGTATAATGGTGCTTACTGATCTATACTTGGTGGTATAATGGTGTGTATTTTTTTAAAGTCAGTTTTATTAGAATGCCACAGAAATACTAACAGTCTTTCCCCCACTCCTTGATAAGAAAGAAGCTGGTGGTATAAAGCACACCGAAACCATGGAGTTCCCAAGGGATATGGAAATATTAAATTTTTGCTGCTTTACAGCTTTTGCTTCAGGGTGGTGAGAATTTCTGGTGGCGAAGCCTTTAGCTGCAATAGTGGTGTTCATTTAACTAGGTCTATTACTGATAAATTGTCAGCACTAATTCATTTATTAATAACCCACCTCGGTGGGTGGTAGGGCTGCATATAACAGGAAAACAAAACCTGCCAGAAGAATTACTGTAAATGGACTAATTGTGCAGCTCCATTCGTTGTAATCTCTAAGGCTCATCATTTGGCTTGCCATTCTGTTTCTGGAAGGGCGTTGTTCTGTGTTTAGAATGGCCAGCCAAGATCAGAGAGAGCCGAGTTCAAATCCTGCCATTACAGCTGGACTTTTTAGCAACTGATTCCTAAATTCCACTTTCGGAGTACAAGTCAGCTTGTCTCTTGCTCCGGTGAAAGCAAGTGACTTCGGTTTTGTTGATGTTGGGCTTTAGCCTCCCAATTTCAAAAAAACAAAATGAAGCTCAAATACTAAGCAGAAAACTAGTTTTGCCGGCTGCTCTTCTTCATTTCTGTGCTCCAAATCCTGCTCCCTTATGAGCAGTAGCATAGTAGCTTTTGAAAAGCAGGCAACAAAATCATTGGAGTTCCCATCGCCATGCCTGCAAGGAAAGTTCAAAACTGGTACATTGGTCTACATTGACCAGTTAGTTCCACCAGTTTGCATCTCCATCAAGGACGAGTCTTTTGTAGATCTAAGGAATCTGAATTGCCCATTGAAGACCAATTCAACCAAAATACTTGGTGATTCTAAGTTCTAACGAGGCTGGGCTGAGAATGTTAGGTGGTGGTAGTGATGGCGGATGATTTTGTCAGAAGAATTACTGTAAATGGACTAATTGTGCAGCTCCATTCGTTGTAATCTCTAAGGCTCATCATTTGGCTTGCCATTCTGTTTCTGGAAGGGCATTGTTCTGTGGTTAGAATGGCCAACCAGGATCAGAGAGGTAAAGGTAAAGGTTCCCCTTGACAATTTTTGTCCAGTCGTGTTCGACTCTAGGGGGCAGTGCTCATCCCCGTCTCCAAGCCATAGAGCCAGCGTTTTGTCCGAAGACAATCTCCCGTGGTCACATGGCCAGTGCGACTTAGACACGGAACGCTGTTACCTTCCCACCAAGGTGGTCCCTATTTATCTACTTGCATTTGTGGTGGTGGTAGTGATGGCGGATGATTTTGTTTTTTCTCATGACAGAATCCCAAGCTTCTGGCCCCTGACACCTCTACAGCACTGAACGAGGGCAACAAACAATGAAATCTGGAAAATGGTTAAGAGGGATCCCTTTGGGAGCTCACAAACCTATCTGTGCGCATTATTCACAGTTCCGTGCAAATCTTGCACACAGCTGGGAGAATATCCCTTTCTGCAGGACACCTCCCAAAATCTTTGGCTGCAAGATCCGGGGCACGGTAGTCCAAAGGAGTAACTTTTCCAAGCTGTGCTGCTGCAGTTCTGTGGTTTGGAAAAAGGACATCTGCTCAAAGGCACGAGAGTAAGAGATGTCCTTGATAGCGGCCCTGATCAAAGGTGCCGTTTATGGTTCTGGGTGGCACTGCCAAGGTACAAGCTCACGGCGAAACGAGGCCATGATCAGCGTGGCATTACAGACTCCGTGGCCGAGCAGCCCAGACGGCTCTGTGGGGGAACGAAAAGGAATTGGCATGCCAGGAAGGTGGAAGAAATATCTGAACGATCAGCTGTAAAAATTCACCCTCCTATTTTATGACAGGTACGGCGGCTACTCAGGCGCCATCCAGACTAGAACTGAGGACCAGAAGTATAGCGTCGGGGTGAGGAACATACAGCCCTGGGGCTCAATCTGGCCCTCCTGGGGTCCCAATCCTTTCTCCCACGCTTCCTTCTGATGGCCATGCCCCTTCCCCATTACACCACAGCTTGACCATTTTTTAAAAGTATTGCACATAATTTTTCTCTGGTTTAAAAGATAGGCAAGACTCTCCTTCTCCTCTATGGAAGAGCCAGAACCCCTGTTGTCATCCTATTATTTTTTCAGCCCCCCCCCCAAAAAAAAATTATACCTCCACAAGCTTCCTGGACATGCACTTCCACTCTAAAAACAAGATGCACACAGTGCACCTTGTTTTAACCCCCTGTCCTATTGTGAGAACCCAGAAAGAATCCACCTTGTGATGCATCCAGGAGAGGATTTGGGAGGGGTTGAAATGTGGTGTTTGGCACCTCCAGAGTTGTCCTCGCTCGCACTCTTCTGCTTGTGAGGAAATGCACAATTACAGCATCGTTGCCAAAGGGCCAACTAACGCTCACTCTGAAGTGCCTCAACCCATTACCTCCTAAGGCAGCCTCGTCCACTGCCAAAGCATTCTCATTATTGACACTTTTCTTCTAATGCAGTTATGGGATGTCTCAAGACATTTGGCCGCCTGAGGCAGAGCAGCAGCACCCCCCCCCCAAACCTAAAGGCACAGGACTCAAGAGACAGGTAGCAGAAGCTCCCACAAATTCTTCTCCCCCATAAAATGGCGCAGGAACAAAGAAATCAACCATTTTATTACTGCACAAGGTCATAAATCTGACCGTCTCACCATACCTCATGGTAGGGCCGGCCCTGCCGGGTTATCAGGAACTTGGCAAACAGTGACTCTTTGAAAAGCTAGTTTTGGTAGCCGTTTGCCTTAGAAAGATAATGTCTACTGAAAATAGCTCTAGGGACTCCTATCTTGGAGTTCAAGGTCCAATCTATATTTAGCTCCCATAGTACACACCCAAGGAATTGTCGGAGTTATCGGCTGTTCCTGAAATCCTGTCTCGCAAGGTCATCGACCTTGGGGTGAGGCAAAGCTTTAAGAATCAGGTATATCAGAAACCAGAAGTTGGGGGAAGCACGCTGGTGAGTTAAAAGCTTTGTACAGCTTGGTATTTCAGAGGTATTTGAGTATTCCTTATGTCATGGTTAAGGGAGGAAGGTTCATCTTACTCACAGTCACTAAGAGTATAACAGCAGCAACAGCAACAACAACAGCAACAACCAAAAAACTAAGTCTCTGTTAAATACATATTGTGCCAATATTTAACAGATACTTAGGATTTTTGGCTAAAACTTGTATGAGTTATATAATAGCAATCAATGTTTTTTATAATTTTGAATGACTGTGCCTGGTGTTTTGAATCATCATCATCACCATCATCTTAACAGAGATGGAAGGGACCCTAGGGACCATGGAGTCCAGTCCCTGTCAAGGAGGCCCAGTGAGGAATCGAACTCCCAACCAGATGCTTAAATGACTGAGCTGCAGCAGCCCTAAGGAGAAAGGAGAGTCCATATCTCAGAGAAATCGGTTCTTGTGTATCAAATGTCAGGGACAGAGGTCGTCCCAGCTTAGTAGGGATCATTTGGATCGGGCTTTCCATGATGTGGTTGGAACCATATTAAGGATGGGATAGGATGTAATGGTGACCAAAACGTTTTGCATATCAACAGTGAGTGAGTAAAGTAGGTGCTGGTATAAGCCACACGTGGCCTTGCTTGTTTTAGTGCTTCTGCCCCGCTGAATGTTGGCGCTGCAGCAGCAAAAAACCCTAAGTTTCCATCCCAAAACAAGGTGCATGGGGAGCGTACACCTTGTTTTCACTGCCCTGCTGAGTTTCAGCACTGCAGTGGTAAGAATGTCATTAGCACCAAAAATTGCTCATGTAGAAGAAGATGCACGTTCCTTGTGAGGCCCTCCTAAGTACCACTGGGGGTGATTCAGCCCCTTTTGTCTGGATTGTGCTGCAGAAAGAAAGCTAGCCTTGCCCTTGATAGTTTCCAGCATTTGGAACAATTTTCTTAATTTGCCATTGCATAATCCTGCATATTCCTGCCTAGAGCCTGGGAAAAGTTCTTGCATCTTGCATTTAGCGTGTTGGGCTTTCTGATTGATCACTGAAAGGTGAACAGGGGCATAGAGTTCAAGTCTGGTTGCTCAGGCCCATATCTCTGAGGAATTCCAGCAAGGGAAATTGATTCGTGAGAGGGAATATATCTTTACTTAATATCTGGTTTAACTCATCAAGGCTAGTGTTGCTATTTCTCCTTGCACAGTCCTCCTAGAAAGCCTGAAACTTCCTAGTGTGGAAGTCTTAGGGACATAACGTTTGGATAGTGACCTTCAGCCCCCTCAGTGGCAATAAGAAAGTGGGAAGTAAATTGCGGAAAAAAGTAAAAATCAGGTTTTAGAACGGGGCCTCATTCAGCTGCAAGCAAGCCACAGGTAAATCACTTCTGAGGTGCTCTGTACCTCGAAAATCCTAGAAAGTGCTGCCTTAATCAGAACTGTCTTGACAGCACAGAATTATTGTCATCATTTTGTGTAGTCAAAGGTGTAGTCAATGGTCATGAAAACAAGCTGGCCGTGAAGCCTTCTTCCCGGAAAAAAAAGCATACCATATTGTGGTCTAAGCTGTCTTCAGATCATTTTCCTGCTCCATCCCATGAAAGGTATCCTAAAATCAAAGTCTGTTTACAGTTCCTGAGTAAACCCATTGAATCTGTGGTGTTGGTTGACCTTTTACTAATTCCTTGAGTCTATGGGGGTGGGAGCGAACTGTTGGATTTAGGCCACAACATTTTCCTTCCTTTTAAAATTGTTTCTTTATTCTAATTCTTCTGTAATCTGCTGTTTTATTTTATTGTATTTTATCTTTGTTGTTGGCCGCCTAGAGTAGTCCATTGGACTAGATAGGCGGTATATAAATAAAATAAAATAAATAAATAAACAAATAAATAAAAAATTCTTTTCCTCTTCCCCTCCATCGGGTTTTCATCCTGATAGTTCCAAAGTCTCCCCTGAATGTGACGCAGGAAGCAGGAGACAAAAGGAAGAGATGTATAGCCCGGCTGGCTGAGAGCGGTTAATTATTCCGCCAGCTCAAACATTACCCCCTCCCTGTATGCGGATGCCCTTTTCCCCTCATCTTCTGGAAGGCTTTGATGCTAATGAGAACGAACATCCCATCTATGGCCTGTCAGCCCCGAATGTCTGCGAGAAGGTTTCAGAATGAGAGGAGATGTCACATGATGTCTGGATTCCACCGCTTGGCGGTATGGGGGGCAAATAAAGCATGAAATATCAAAGTCCTAGACCTGAGGTTGTT